CTATAATCCCAGCTACTGAGGAGGCTGAGGCAGGAGAATCACTTGAACCTGGGAGGCAGAGGCTACAGTGAGCCAAGATTGTGCCACTGTACTCCATCTCAAAAAAAATAAAATATAAATGAGAGTGAACTAAAGACTAGACGCAGTGGCTCACGCCCCTGTAATCCCAGCACTTAGGGAGGTCGAGGTGGATGGATTGTCTGAGCTCAGGAGTTCCACACCAAACTGGGCAACATGGCAAAACCCCATCTCTACCAACAATACAAAAAATTAGCTGGGCATCGTGGTGCAGGCCTGTGGTCCCAGCTAGTCAGGGGGATGAGGTGGGAGGACCACTTGAGCCTGGGAGGTAGAGGTTGCAGTGAGCCGAGACTATGTGCCACTGTACTCCAGCCTGACAGAGTGAGACCCTGTCTCAAAAAAACAACCCCCTTAAAACTGAAAGAAAATACACAGAAGTCTTGGTGAGGGCTGCCCCAGAGTAGGTGGACCATATGGTTTTTTATTTTCTGTATTTTTAAGGTCCTTTTTACCTCTTTTAAAAAAAAAATGTATTTCTATCACCCTAAACATGAAAATGCATTAAAAATTTTTTGTTTTTGAAAATAGAGCTCTCTTGTCCTGCTTTGGGGGACAGCCCTGTGAAATATTTTTAGTTCTTATTTCATTGCGTTTTACTGGACACAGTCACGCCTACTTCTTTACATTAGTGTCCTATTTCCTGCTGTAACAAATCATCACAAACCTAGCGGCTTAAAAAAGCACAAAATTACCATTTTACATTTCTGGAGGTCTCAGGGTTAAAACACAGGTCTCAGGGCTAAAATCAAGATATCGGGGTGGGAGGGCTGTGTGTCTTTCCAGAGGCCTCAGGGAGAAGCTGCTTCCTCCCCTTTTCCAGCTACTAGAGGTCACCCACATTCCAGGGATCATGGCCCCATTCCTCCAATCCAGCACCAGCGATGTGGAATCTCTCTGATCCATCTTCTGTAGCTGCGTCTCCTTTGACCACAGCGGTGAATGCTTCGCCATGCTTCAGGACCCGTGTGATGAGGTCTCCCCGTCTCAAAGCCCTGAATTATGTCTGCAAAATCCCTCTTGCCACATCAGGTGCCATACTCACAGGTTCTGGGGTTAGGCCGTGGGCTCTGGGCATCTTTGGGGAGTCATTCTGTCTGCCAGGTTCTCAGTGACACTCTGAGGAAGCACCTGCCCAGGTAAGTGCTCTTCCCACCTCATACTCCTCAGTGAGTGGGGTTATTCCTGCCCAGGAAACAGTGTCTGACTCAGCTGAGCTGGTTGCAGGCTTTGCAGACTGCACGGCCACCACAGTGACCCGGCACCCACCATTGACAGTCTCATGTGACGCTGTTCCGGAAGCTCTGCTAAGGTGCCGGATGGCCTCAGCCCGATTTCAGCACTCGGACGCTCCCCCAGAGGCCCCCCATTCTTCCCCATCCCTGCCCCAGCTCTTGCTATTGTTTGCCTTCATCCCTTTTTCCCACGAGAAGTACCAGATTCTAACATTTGCCTTCCAGCAATAGCGTTTCTGAGGAAGACACTATGAGGGCTGAGCCTGCTGTGAGCACGAGATCACCGGAGAACCCTCTCCCACACAGCTGCACACTCTGCCCCTGCTCTCCCCTGGGAGAGAATCCCAGGTGTAGACTTAGTCCCAGTCCTCAGAAGAGCTCCCCCAGCGTGTGCTGTGGCTCTGCCAAAGATCGTGAGAAAGTGGAGATCCGAAAATAAGTATTCTCCGGGCAGCGCAAGCGCAGAGAAAGTGCTTCTCAAGTTAGCTCCGGCTGGTTTGTGAAGGGCACTGAGCTTTGGCATGTGAGCTTGTAAAGATGCTTTCTGGCCAGGTGCAGTGGCTCACGCCTGTAATCCTAGCACTTTGGGAGGCTGAGGCGGGCGGATCATGAGGTCAGGAGATGGAGATAATTCTGGCTAACATGGTGAAACCCCATCTCTACTAAAAACACAAAAATTAATGGGGCATGGTGGTGCGCCCCTGTAGTCCCAGCTACTTGGGAGGCTGAGGCAGAAGAATCGCTTGAACCCAGGAGGCGGAGGTTGCAGTGAGCTGAGATCGCATCACAGCACTTGAGCCTGGGAGGCAAGAGTGAGACCCTGTCTCAAAAAAAAAAAAAAAAAATGTCATTCCCACCCCAGGGAGCTGGGCGTTTCTGGCTGCTGAGGCCCTGTCCTCAGCCCGGTGGAGCAGCAGCAGTGGCCACTGCCTGCATGACCCTGCTGAGACCTGTGCTCGTGGTCAGATGGGATGCTCTGAACTCTTGGAAGCCAGAGGTTATAGTTTTTTAAATATTATAAAAGGAATATCATATTGTGGAAACCAGAAAAGGAAGGTAAGTGCTCATTCTCCCATTCCCCTATTGATCACTTTGGGCTTGTTTCTGCATGTTTTACAGACCCTGGAGTGCAGCCGTCTTCATTCCATGCAAATGCACCTGCTCTGTACCAGGCACTGTTTCAGATGCCCAGGCTGCAGCCATTAAAGCAAAAGATTCAGGGATTTGCCTTCGAGTGGAGTCTTTAGACAAGGAACGAGATGAGAGCGCCTGTGAGGTGATCAAGTGCTGGTTATGGAGAAACTTGGAGGAGAGGTCAGGTGCTGCCTTCCAGTGCTCAGGCAGAGAAGGGGCTGTCTGAACAGAGACCTAGCAGAGATCAGGGCTCAGCTGCCTGTCCAGCTGTGGACTGAGCTCCTGGAGCTGCCTGGACCAGGCCCCAGTGGGAGCACCTTGCCCTGCAAAGAGGCTGCAGATGCCAGGGTGGCTGAGAGAAACTGGAGGGCTCTGGACTTGGGCATATTTTGACAGTGGAGCCACTATGATGTCCTGACAGAGTGGATGTGGAGTTAAGAGAAAGAGGGGTCAAGAATGATAAAGTTTTGTCTTGAGCCAAGGTGTGGAATTGAAGTAGGAGGCGGGACTTGACTCCGGAGGTGGGGCTCAGACACCAGGCCACACTGAAGACCAGCTAAAACAGGTGTGGGGAAGCAGTTTTCCAGAAGGCACAGGCCGCAGTGTGCCATGTCAGTTTACCGTTGCCATAGCGACACCCAGAAGTTACTGCCCCTTTCCATGGCAATGACCCAGTGATCAGGAAGTTACTGCCTCATCCTAGAAATTTCTGCATAAACCACCTCTTAATTCACATATTATTAAAAGTGGGTATAAATATGAGTGCATCCCTAAATCTGAGCTGCTCCTCTGGACACACCGCCTGGAGAGTACTTGGTACTGCAAGGAGCAGTGCCTCTGCTGGACACCACTGGGGAGCCCTTGAATTCTTTCCTGGGGGAAGCCAAGAACCCTCCCGGGCTAAGCCCCAGTTTTGGGGCTCACCTGTCCTGCATCAGAGCTGCCATCTGATTGTGTCTGAATTGTTTTATCTCTGTGCCTGTGAGTGACACAATGCTGTTGTTTTTGCTTTTTTGGGGATTCAGGAAAGCAGAAAGGCGGAAGAAGGAGATGAGAGCCGCAGGGCCAGGCCAAGGGCCAGTGTGTCTGGATTCCCTAACAATGCACACCCCTCCCACCATGTATAGGTTACTCTGTGGTTAACACGTCATCCAAGAAATGGTGTAGCTTCAAGAGGGCTTCAGGGGGAGAAAAGTAAAAGGCTGTTGTCCTCTGGGGAAGGAAATCCTCATGCCCTTCCTGTCTCTCGGAGACTCTGGATGGGTGTCACTGCAGCCTGCTGGCTGGGCCTCATGTCTCTGGAGAGTGGTAAGAGCAGCAAAGCCACACAGTGCTGAGGCCATGTCACATGAACAATCTCTGCTTCTCTTCTGGCACTCATGGGAATAGCTATTGGTCACAGCATCAACATCAACTTGGACTCTGGGCTTGGAAACAAAGCCAGCTTCCCTGGCAGCTTAGGCCCAGGTTCCTGAGGCCAGGCCCTTGGAGGAAAGGCTCTGCATATTGTGCTCTGGACAGCACTGCCTGGCAGGAAGGAGTGGGCCCAGAATCCAGCCGTGCACTGCGGTGTGGAGCTGCGTCCGTCTGGAGGAAAGGAAACCACTTCGTAATTCACACAAAGGGCTGTTTAGTTTGTGGGAGGCTGTGACCGAGGCCTTCCCAGCAGAGGACAGCTCCACATGGCTCAGCCAGGGCCCATGGGGAAGGGTCATGGGCAAGGAGTGTCTGAGTGTTCCTGGGAGCCTTGGCTAAATACCGTCACTAGATCACCCTTTAATCACACCCTGAATTTTTTTTCAGTATAATTTCCGACATTTGGGAAGTAAGTTGGGGGAAAAATGGGGCTCTCTTTGTTCCTTATAAATTTACCAAATTGGTGATGATTTACTAACCTGTGGATGAAGCTTGTGCTAAAAGTCAAGACCGACAGTGGGATTTGGAAAGAAAATATGAAAACCGTGTTAAATTTCCTATTTTATGAGCACAATGGTTCACAATGGTAACCCCAACACTTTGGGAGGCTGATGCAGGAGGATTGCTTGAGCCCAGGGGTTCGAGATCAGCCTGGGCAACATGAGGAGATGCAATCTCTAAAAATATAATAATAAATTTCTTGTTTTGTGTATGTCATACAAGATGTTAGTAGATGGAATACATGTGTAGGCCTTACTAATAAATGTGCATGCCCAGGGTTGGTGCTCAGCTTTGTTTCCGCGTTAAGGAAGCAGGACTGAAATTGTTTGGAGACTGTTTGCTCTAGTTAATTCCCTGAGTTCAACGTCAACATGAGGAGTTTGACAGGGATTGATGAGAAGCCTTGGGAGGCTGGTCCCAAGTGTCTTTAGAGAGTGGTATGAGCAGCCACACCCAGCCTATGGGCACAGCGTCTTCAACATCTGATGAAGTCTGATGCTGACTCCTGAAAGGGGTGCCCTCCATCCTGGCCCTCTTCCCTTCAGCTGTTTTCTATGGAGCAGAAAAGAGGTTTCACTGGTGGGTGAAATTGCACAACTTCGCAGCGGGTGTCTCTCTTTGGTTGGCTGTAAGGCAAGGAAGACCCTCTGCAGCATAAAGCACACTGCCCACGCTCATCATGACTAATCAGCGCAAGCAGGTAAGGAACAAGTGGAGCCTAGCGGAAGGCAGAGCTGGACAGTTGTAGCATGAAAAAGGCATTTAAAGTATTTATTCACTTATTTTATTAGAGACAGGGTCTCACTCTGTTGCCCAGGCTGGAGTGCAGGGGCATGATCATAGCTCGCTGCAGTCTTCAACTCCTGGGCTCAAGTGATCTCCCTGCCTCAGCCTCTGTAGTAGTTGGGGCTATTGGAGGCCACTATCACTCCCTATTAATTTTGAAAAAAAAGTTAGAGATGGGATCTTGCTATGTTGCCCAGGCTAGTCTCAAACTCCTGGCCTCAAACAATCCTCCTGCCTCAGCCTGCCAAGGAGCTGGGATTATGGGCTCAAGTCGTCATGCCCAGCAAAGTACTTACATAAGATTTCAATCAGTTCTATCTGAGGACCTAATTGGAGAAGGCCCTGGGACTTACAAAGTCTGGCTCTATAAAAACTGGAGCTGCAGGCCAGATGCAGTGGCTCATGCCTAAAATCTCAGCACTTTGGGAGCCAAGATGGGCAGATCAGGAGTTCAAGACCAGCCTGACCAACATGGTGAAACCCCGTCTCTACTAAAAATACAAAAATTAGCCAGGTGTGCGGGCAGGCACCTGTAATCTCAGCTACTCAGGAGACTGAGGCAGGAAAATCGCTTGAACCCAGGAGGCAGAGGTTGCAGTGAACTGAGATCATGCCACTGCCGTCCAGCCTGGGCGATAGAGTAAGACTCTGTCTCAAAAAAAAAAAAGGAGCTGCAAAGCTCCAGCAGTTAGTCAGAATCCAAGCTTCCATGATCCTGCTCACCAAATTTCTACCATGGGAAGCACGTTCTGAAATTTGCCTCACTGCTGGTTCTAGTGGCCAGTCTGAGAACCTCCACAAAGCTCCACTCTAGACATTTAAAGGGTTATAAATACAGTCCAAATGAATTCACAAACCATGAGCTCAGATGTGCACATGTAAGTTCCTTTAACTCAATTTAATTCCTTGCTGCAAGCTCCCATTCTGTCCAGTGTAGAACCCATAATTTAGGCAATACCGGGTAAACTGTATGCATTCAGGGCTGCTTCCCTTTGGTCTCCATCATCCCCCTAACCCTAAGACAGAGGCTAAGCTCTGAGAGGCAGGTGCAAAGGGCATGAGGTGCGGGGAGAGGGGGTGTCAGTTTGAACTTCTGTCTGTCCTGAGTCTGAGCCAGCAGCCTTTTGGGTGTGACTTACCTGGGTGGCCTTCATACACTCCAGCTGTCTGTGGGCTGGGAGGCAGGGGCTTCCTCTGTGATCTCTGCTGGGTTGGGCCACCCAGTCCCTGCTGCAGGCTCCCCTTATCCCAGCTGAAAGGCCCCCAAAGGTGCTTCAGGTCCCTCATATTCTCTCTCTCTCCCCCTCCTCCCCACTGTCCGCACCCCCCCCATTTCCTGTGGCAGGTGGAAGTGTGGCTGGCTTCCTGCATGCTCCTACACCTCACTCTGGATACCTCTTGCAGCCTCTCTGTGAATGTCACATGAGGGACCCTGGTGAGGCTGCCTTGTCAACTGTCTGAGTTCTAGAAAGACCAGGTAACAGGTACACTCTCCATGAGAATCTATTAAGAAAAATTATTCAAAATGTGGATGTCAGGCAAAAACAAACCACATGACTTTTTTTTTTTTTTGAGATAGATTCTTGCTCTGTTACCGAGGCTGAAATATAGTAGGGCACAGTTGTAGCTCACCGCAGCCTCAAACTCCTGAGCTGAAGCAATCCTCCCATCTCAGCCTCCCAAGTAGCTGGGACTATGGCATCCACTACCATGCCCATCTAATTTTTTTTTTAATAGAGAGATGAGGTCTGTGTTGCCCAGGCTGTCTTTGAGCTCCTGAACTTAAACTCCTGGCCTCAAGCGATTCTCGCACTTCAGCCTCCCAAAGTGCTAGGATTGCAGGTGTGAGCCACTGCGCCCAACCCACATGACTTTCATTGTCATACTGTATGATCGTTGTCTAACAAGCTCACCTGGAGTCATTTTACTTTAAGCCAACGTGACTTTGATTGACTGGCTTATTAGTTTCTACTGATTAGAGGCCAAACATTTTACAATTCTGTAAAGTTAGATGTTCGCTTTTTGAAAACTGTTAAGATGCAAACGATTGTTGTCCAATAGCAATGAACATAGTTCTTGCTCAGCGGAGGGGATAACCCCACAGCCTGTGGTTTTGTTGTCCGATAGGACATTCACCAGTCTGCGTGTAGCTTTGCAGTTGCCCTCTAGCATTATCTTTGTTGTTTTTGTTCACTTACCAATCCACACTTCACTCTTCCGCTTCCCCCTTTAAACTGGTTCCCACTGTTATTCTGAGGGCTGGGGGTGCCTATCTTCATCCTCACTCCTTCCCTGCCCAATGCCAGCGATCCAGCAACAGATGAAAACCCAAGTTTTCCTAACTCTTTCCTGGCTCCTTTTTCCTCCACCTGAAATGGAGGTGCTGCAGGTGCAGCCAAGAACCCAGGAGGGGAGGAGGAGAGAAAGCAGTTTCGTTGAACGGGACAGGCTTGCAAATCTTTCCTGTTTTATTTTTACCTTAAAAGTCAATAACTGGTGTCTTTGTTTCTCTAGTTCACCCATTGTTTACCATGTCTAAACCCATGGCTGCACCGATGGTGTAGGGGGAGTCTACAGTAAACACGTTAAAGACGGAATGTGTCAATGGATACTTCACCTAACGCTGACACGTGAGGTTTGTGTCTGAGAAGACCCCAGGCAGTGTATTTTCTTCTCAGTTTCATTGCCATTGGCCAGGAATTTTCTTTAATACCCAACGATCTTTATCAAGACAGGAGCTGGGATACAGTTCGCTCAAACATGAAAGAAAATTGATGTTGATTTGCCAGTAGTCAGTTGGCAAGAGAAGGAAAAACTTTTTTCCATTTCCTTATTTGTAAAATGGCAATAATAAGGTAACAGGATACATTTTGGAGATCGTAAAGCTGAGGTTCCTGCTCCTCCTGTCACAGCTCTTCACCCATCATGATCAGGGGTAGCAGCTGTCCCCGGGGACGGCAGGCTATAGCTGCCACCGTAAAGGTCAGATTCTTGGATTCTGAGCTCAGCCTATGGAGGATTTTGGAAGACAGAGCAGAGGCGACTGCATGAAAGCCAAAATGGTTTTGATTTGCCAAGTTGGCTCTTGAGAGAGGTTTTAGTTTATGTTTTTCACAATTCTGAGAACTTGGCATGGCATCTCCACAGCAGAGCCTCCTGGATGTGGCCCAGTTTGTGAGAGAAATCACGCGTAGAAAAATGCACGATGGTAAAGGAGCCATTTTCCATCCAAAAAGAGGTACGTGTTCAAGCAGCCAGGCTGGCGGGAGGCCAAGGGCCGGAAGGCTGAGGGTCTCCGAGGGGCTGTAGAAAAGAAGCCTGGAGGGACTGGGGAGCAGAAGGGCTACTGGGCCTTGCCAGGGAGCGAGTGGGACCCCACAACAAATAGGAACGGCGAGGCATGGCAGGGGGTGGGCCAAGGGCAGGGGCAGCCAAGTCCCTGTGACCTCCCATCAGGTGGCTTGGCATCAGGAAAACAGAACCCACATGAGGGATTTGGATGCGTGGATTTGGTTCTACAGATGATGGAAGAGCCAAAAGGCTGCACAGAGAATGAGAGGGGCCCCAGAGCTTAGTAACCCCCGAAATCCCCACGGCCCCTCAGGAGGGTTGGGAGGAGGACGGTGCTGTGGGGGCTGTGGAGGTCCTGCAGGTGCTGCCTGAGAAGCCAAGAGACCAGGTGAGAATGCACATCAGCTGCCCCCATCGCATTCCTCCTGCCCCACCTCCCCGCAGGGCCTCCCACTGATTGACCTCAGCTGATGGTAGCTGACAAGTCACCTGGGGCGGGCAGCCTCGAGGCAGAGCATGGGAAGAGTGAGGTGTGGCTCTCAGGGTGAGTGCAGAACTGGCTCACCCCAAGGGGACCATATCAGCTCTGGGAGACCAGTGATGCAAGAGGGGAGAGCCCAGTGAGCAGGAGCCCACGCCAGGACGTAGGATCTCAGCAAGGAGCCAATGCATGGCTGTGAGGACCAGCAATATATGGATTTCAGCAGAGGTCAGAGGACTGGATGCCCCTTCCCCGGGGCAGGAGCAGAAACCCTCCGCCCTCCCCGGGGGCTGCCATCACCTCCAGGGAGATGGGGAAGCAACTGTCTGCTTCAATTCTGTGCACATCAGGAAGAAACTCCTGAGAAGCTGAGTTCTGAATTGATAGGACTGAATGTTTTCCACCTCACGATCTGGAAAATGGAGTTATTTTCAATTCTGGAGAAATTATGAAGGTACATTTCTTCACATTCAAGTCTGTGATTGTAAAAGTAGTGCCAGTAGTGTTACTATCAACCTTGAAGTTTTCATGTTTGGTGAGATGGCGTCTGTAAGATGCTTATAGTGGCTGGGTGCAGTGGCTCACTTTGGGAGGCTGAGGCAGGAGGATTGCTTGAGCCAGGGAGTTTGAGACCAGCACGGGCAACACAGTGAGGCCCTCATCTCCACAAAAAACTTAAAAACTTAGCTGGGTGTGGTGGTGTGAGCCTGTAGTCCTGGCTACTTGGGATGCTGAGGTGGAGGATCTCGAGCCCAGGAGTTGGAGCAGGCTGCAGTGAACGGTGGTTGGACCACTGCAGTTCGGCATGGGCTGTGGATGGGGATCCTGTCTCTAGAAAAAGATGCTGGCACAGTTGCATAGACTGCTAGTTATCCCTTTCTAATCATCTAAAAATATATTTCATATGTGAGCTTGTTACTAAACACCAGTGGTTCAGTCTAGGTCCCACTGCTTACTGCACAGAAAGCTAATCACTGAGACAACAGCACTGCCAGCAAAGAAGGCTCTAATATATTGTGGATGATGCCAGCTGCACACGCCAGAGCCAAACCTAAATCCATCCCTCCCTCCCTTCCAACTAAGGTCAGGAGTTTATATAGCAGGAAGGAAAACAGGCAGGGCAAGGAGGAGGAGATGCTTAACAGGCAGCAGCTGATTGAACGAGGGCGGTCTAGCCTCTCACTGTAGCTACCTGTAGGAAAACAGGAATTAGGGGAAAGGAAGAGGAGTTGGTCAACAGGCAGCAGGTGTGTCTTGTTCTGCAAATGTCAGTTTCTCAAGCTTCAGTTCTATGTGCATCCAGCTTGTTGGAACATTGGGCCTGTTTCAATTTTAAATACAGCCTATGAGGCTTCTGTCTCCAGGCAGAGTCAGTGCATGCGAAGCCCCATTCACCCTCCAGGTCTCAGCAAAAGTGTCGTCTCCCTGGAAGGGCTTGCCTTCCTTCCCAGGTCTGCCTTCCTCCCATCACCCTCTCTGTGACAGCACCTGGTGCCTCTCTTTCACAGCGTTTGTCACGGTTGGAAATGTCTTGTGTGTGAATCTGTTTGATGTTTGTCTCCTACCCTCCTGTCCTGCCACTGTAAGCCCCACAAGAGTGGCAACCTGGCCAATTTTGTTTGTGTCACTCCCAGTGCTAGCCCAGGCCTGACATAGCATGGGTGCCTAATATTTGCCGAACGGAAGAACTGAGTGAGTGGAGGAATAGGGATACTGTGGAGATGAAGTGAAACAGTCCTGTAGAGTGCCACACAGCACACATAAGTACTTACTAATAGTAGCCATGATTATTAGACCTACTGTGCGCTTAGACGAAAATTCAAAGGATCCTTGGATAACATAAAGCCCTTAAAAGAAGTTAAGAAATCCTCAAATTATCTTACACTTCTGAATCACCCTATATCATCAGTCCAGCTCATAGGTAGGGATGACTCATAGTTAGGACTTCTGTGATAAGAGTTAAGGTGAGAAGATAACAGCCTCTTCTCTAAAGTCTGGAGTACCCATCTAAGGAAAGGCCATACAAAGGGTCTAAGCATATTACAGTCTAAACAAGGTCCCCCAAATTCCCATTTTACCTTTTTTTTTTTTTGTAGATGAATCTTACTCTGTTGCCCACGCTGAAGTGCCGTGGTGTGACCTCAGCTCACTCCAACCTCTGCCTCCTGGGTCCAAGTGATTCTCCTGCCTCAGCCTCCTGAGTAGCTGGAACTATAGGCATGTGCCACCCTGCCCGGCTAATTTTTTGTATTTTTAGTAGAGACAGGGTTTCACCATGTTAGCCAGGATGGTCTCCATCTCCTGACCTTGTGATCCGCCTGCCTTGGCCTCCCAAAGTGCTGGGATTACAGACCTCAGCCATTGCGCCCACCCCCATTTTGCTTTTAATAGCTTTCTCAATTTATTCTGACAGGTAATTTGCTCTGAATTAATTAGTCTATATCCAGTAAGTAAACTAATGTAGTCACTCTAGGTTCATTTGCATCCTATTCATATTAATGGTTTGATTTGGAAGTTACATTCTCAAATTCCAGTTTTTCATGGGTGTATTAACATTTTTCTTTTTTTTGAGATGGAGTTTCACTCTTGTTGCCTAGGCTGGAGTGCAATGGCACGATCTCAGCTCATGGCAACCTCCGCCTCCCGGGTTCAAGTGATTCTCCTGCCTCAGCCTCCAAGTAGCTGGGATTACAGGCATGCGCCACCACATCTGGATAATTTTGTAATTTTAGTAGAGATGGGGTTTCTCCATGTTGGTCAGGCTGGTCTTGAACTCCCAATCCACCCACCTTGGCCTCCCAAAGTGCTGGGATTATAGGCGTGAGCCACCGTGCTCAGCAACATTAATGTTTTTCTATGATAACGGTAGGCAACTGCTGACTGCAGCTCTGAAAGTCTTCAAAGTCATCCGAGGTGGGCTTTATGCCATGTAAGTTTATTTTTGTTCACAAGCCACGAAAGACTCAGAACAGTTTTCCTTTTTTTTCTTTTTTCTTTCTTTTTTTTTTTTTTTTGAGACGGAGTTTAGCTCTTGTTACCCAGGCTGGAGTGCAATGGAGCTATCTCTGCTCACCGCAACCTCCGCCTCCTGGGTTCAGGCAATTCTCCTGCCTCAGCCTCCTGAGTAGCTGGGATTACAGGCACGCGCCACCATGCCCAGCTAATTTTTTGTATTTTTAGTAGAGATGGGGTTTTACCATGTTGACCAGGATGGTCTCGATCTCTTGACCTCATGATCCACCCACCTCGGCCTCCCAAAGTGCTGGGATTACAGGAGTGAGCCACCGTGCCTGGCCCGACTCAGAACAGTTTTCTAAGTGAAACCCTGTCTTGACTTGCCAGGGCTCCCATGACCTACCTTCATGCACAGATGGAATGGTTGTCTAAGTAGAAATCTTCGTTAGGGTCCTTAATTTGCACAAAAGTTTCTTTCTTCATCTCATCTGGTCAGTTACTTTTTGATGTTTGCAAGTCAGCCTTCAGTCTAGCTAAGCATGTGTCTTTCAGTCCAGTCCTTCTTAGTCAGTTTACACTTGGGCTGCTCTCCACTCAATTTTGATTAAATATTCACCTGCAAATGTTTATGAGCAGAAATGGAAGAACTTGCTGTGCACTTCATCTCTTAGATATTCTGTTAACTCCATGAGACCCAGCTGGATTACCAGAATGTCTTCCCACCCCACCACCCGAGAATTACATTCTCTGTGTAATTTTCTTTTCTTTTCTTTTTTTTTTTTTGGGACGGAGTTTCGCTCTTGTTACCCAGGCTGGAGTGCAATGGCGCGATCTCGGCTCACCGCAACCTCCGCCCCCTGGGTTCAGGCAATTCTCCTGCCTCAGCCTCCTGAGTGGCTGGGATTACAGGCACGCACCACCATGCCCAGCTAATTTTTTGTAGTTTTAGTAGAGACGAGGTTTCACTGTGTTGACCAGGATGGTCTCGATCTCTTGACCTCGTGATCCACCCGCCTCGGCCTCCCAAAGTGCTGGGATTACAGGCGTGAGCCACCGCGCCCGGCCTTCTGTGTAATTTTCAATGAGACATAAGGTGAATCCATATGGGAGAATATTATTTGGCAATAAAAAGAAATGAAGTATACACATGCTAAAACATGGATTGAAAACACCGTGCTAAGCAAAAGCCAGTGACAAAAGACCACATATCGTACGATTCCATTTATATGAAACTTCTAGAGTGAACAAATCTATAGAGACAGAAATTTGTGGTTGTTATGGAGTAGGGAATGACTGCTAACAGGTTCGTGCTTTTTCCTGGGGGTGATGAAATGTTCTAAAGTTAGGTTGTGGTAATAGTTATACAATTCCGTGAATATGCTAAAAGCCACTGAATCATACACTTTAAATGGGTGAATTTCATAGTATGTGAATTATATTCCAATAAAGATGTTTAAAAGAGTCATAAGAGGCTGGGTGCTGTGGCTCACGCCTGTAATCCCAGCACTTTAGGAGGCAGAGGTGGGCAGATCACCTAAGGTCAGGAGATCAAGACCAGCCTGGCCAACATAGTGGCCTGAAACTCCGTCTCTACTGAAAAATACAAAAATTAGTCGGACATGGTGGCGCACACCTGTAATCCCAGCTACCTGGGAAGTGAGGCAGGAGAATCACTTGAACCCAGGAG